CATCAACAAGTGGTATGATTACTTTGGGCAAATTACTTAACCTTTCTAATCCTTATTTTCTTCATTTTGAAAATTGAGAAAAATCACAATAATATGTATTCTATAGAGGATTGCTGTGATGATCAACTGAGAAACACATGAAAAACACTGAACCCAACGCTGGCCAAACAGAAAGCACTCAATAAATGTTGACTATCACTACCTCTCCCATTTCCCCCAGCAAGGAAATAGATGGAAATTTTTGTTTCAGATTAGCTACCCAGTGTAGCAGCAATGCAAGAATTAAAGTATGAAAATTGAGATCTGTAAGCAGAAAAAAAACAAACTATATGGCAATAGCCTCTAGAAATTTCAATTGGGAATGATTGCTCTATTATACACAGTATTAATAATAACTGTTTACAATCTGCCAGAACTTGTGCCAAGCACTTTATAGGCATTCTTTCATTGAATCCCCACACAAATACTATGAAGTAACCAGTTTCGCAAACCCGGTGAAGAAACCTGAATGAAGTAAGTGAATTATTAATAAAATATTACAGAGAGGGAAATCTGAAGCTTAGAGAGGTTTAATCACTGGCTCAGAGTCACACAATAAGTGACAAAATGAAGCCTAGTGCCCAGGATTGGTTGTGACAAAGCCTCTGAACAATTCATACACTATTTATAAATTCAAAACAGATACATAGTAACTTCTTGCTGAATTACAATGGTAACATTTATGTGTATTAAGAGAATCGGAAAAAAGATATGATAGTGGCAATAATCAGAATTGGAAAATTTAACTCATGTGGTTAACTAAGATAATGGCTCTGACAGGGAGACTGTTGTTAAATAGTTGAAAGAAAATGACTCAAAGGAGATGTCAAAAGTTAGATGGTTATCAAAAAAAAGTAATTGCCACAGATCAGGTATCACAATGGGAGAGGCATAAAACGGTATATTACAAATCTGTATTTTTTTGGTGGATGGTCTTAAGTCCTTTCCAGAACAAAAGGAGTTATAAATTAAGTTGATAAGTAAAATGATTCTGCCTTTTGCACTTACTCTAAGGGAGTAAGCAGCTATTGAGCTGGAAAATCAAAATAGAAGCCATTTTGTAGCTGGACTTGAAAAATTTATGTATTTGCCCCATAACTTTGATAGAATAAAAGAATGCCAGATAAACTGCTTATATGCTTATTGTATCAAAGCTTCAATTTTTTAAATTTATGATTCATATATACTTATATATATTCTTAATATCCTCCTTATGCATAAGTTCAAGTTCAAATGAAACATTTCCTGAACCTATTTATATACTAATATAACACTAAGTGAATGTTTATTGACTAAATGAAAGAATAAGCGATGTAACAGGTAAATTAGATACTTATATTTTTCTATAATCAGTATTAAGTGTTTACACACAGCTTTAAAATTAACATCTATATATTTTTTAAATTATTAATTCAAAAGAGTTTTTCATGAAGCAGGATCGTTAAATGTAATGTCAATGTAATTTATTTTGGGGGAATTCACTATACATTCTTAAAAGAAATATACCTCTTCAAAAATGTACAATTACTTTTTTCCTGATAATTATATGAATATAATTGAAAAAGTATAAAGTAGAAAATTTTTAATTACTAGTAATCACATATCTTAGACCTAACTATGGGAAAATCTATTTGTTTAATTTCATAAAACTTCAAGTCCTAATAATTCTAGGCTGTGAAATTTGAAGCCTTATGCAAGGTTGCCACATGGTGGTCAAAGTTGAGAAGAGCAAGCTAAAATCAAAGCATACTTGACACTGAATAAAATTTATCATTGAAACTAAATTGGAAAATACAAACTTACTTTGTAGAAATGAAAAACTTAAATTTTGATTTATATATTCTTTCTTCATTAATTAGAGCCTCTGATATTACTTTTAGCAATTAAACTTATTAAAACTAATGATGATAATATCAGTTTTAAGAGCTATCAAATTATTTACATTTGAATTTTAAACTCACAGAGTACCTCTAATTTATTTTGGATCAGTGCCTGTATTTATCTTATTCAGTGTTTTATCCACCCTAGTGCCCATCACTGTTCCTGCTTGTGGTATATACACAGTACAATATTTTTAAATGAACAAATGATATTCACTAATTGAAATGTTGCCAGAATCAAATAAAATATCAAAACATTATTTAAGAAGACCCCCAAAATTACGTACTGACACATTTGCCCATGCAATTTGAATAATCGACAAATGCAGTCAGCAATATTCCTTCCTTTGCATTTGCTGTCTCCAGTACCTGCCATTCTCGTGTTTTTGATTCATTAAGCTTGAGATAAGAAGAGCTGCTCCTTCTGAGAGCGGTCTGTTAATGCACCCAGAAGCAATTATTAGTCATTAGGATGATCTACCAAAAGATGGATCAAACACATAACAGTGTTTTTACTCAAACTTCATGTGGTGCATTTAGCAGTGAAGTCTGACTTTGAAGTTTGCTTTAAAAGAGAAGGAAGATGCAACAGAAGGCTTTATAGGTCTTAAGTTCAAAAGACAGAATTAAGTTTAATAATTTATTTTAAAATAAATTTCTTGCCTAGGGTTTTTTTTTTTAATTATTTCGAGAACTGAATCAGCCTGCCCATCTAATGTGTTACAAATGTGCATTTGATATTTTTACTCAATTAAGTTACATATTGAGCCAGTGAGCATGTTTTCTACCACTGATCATTACTTGGACTGAAGCTGAAATGTGAGTTAGTGAGGCCAGAGCATGGGCCTGCAGTTAGGTTCTGCTCTGGATTAGCTGAGGGACAAGTACATCAACCTCTGTGGCTATCATCAGCAAAAGGAGTCCAGTAAGTAATGACCAAAGTCTTTTAGGTTTTTATGATCCAATTTGTTATTTATTTCTTAATTACTATTCCAGTTATTTCTTTATTTTCCTCTCTTTTTAAGCCATGGGGTTCTTTTCCTTTTTATTTTCTCTCCCTCCTTTCTTTCCTTCCTCTCTCTCTCTCTTTTCCTTCCTTTTTTCTCTTCTTAATTTCTTTTTTTGGAAATGTTTATTTGCCTCAACAAATATAATGTAAATATTATTTTGAAGAACATAAAGAAGCTCTACATATGAAGTTTCAGCTTAATTTAGGACAATTTACACCCCTAAATCTATTTACGAAACTTCACTGCAGTTGTTGAGTAGCTACTTATATGAACTACGGTCGTTGTAGTTTTGAAATTACTCAATATATAACAGCAAGAAACTAAGCAAATTCAAAAGTCTATTTTTTAAGTAAGATCTTTGTTTAGCTCACTTATTTTTCCTTAAGATGAGTAAAAACTAAGTAGTATTTGCTTTACTTGCAAAACAAAACACAATTTGAAGAAATTATTAAAGATATCAGTGTCAACTTTACTAATGTTGGGAACGTTTATGATTAAGCATATCAAAATATTTTCAGACATATAAGGAAAAATATCACATGGTATAATGTTAAAATAGTTCCCTGCCATTTCCCAGTTGTTATTTTTTTAAAGTGTAAGTTTGGTTCAGAAACTGAAAGACAATCAGCAGATTTGCTGCAAATTTACAGCTATAGATAGATCTGTTAGATTAAAATGAAATGAACTGAATTTACAGTTAACATGTAGAAGGATAAACATTGATTACTGCATTGGTAGTTGTTTTATAATCTATCTAATAAAAATTTAACAAGAAAAGTTAAATCAGTCTCACTCAACTTGAATGAAAGCTTGTTTTGGCTTTTTAAAGCCAAAGTTCTAGAAAAAAAATTAAAGAGCTAGACAATTTGAAAGGATACGATTATTATATGTACATATCAATCTTCAGATTTCATAGGACTTTAAATATCCTAAATATTCTACTCTACTGCTATTTTACTGAGTTAATTCAAGCTTTTATTTCTATACTAATAATTGACTTCTAAAATTAAAATTAGTTTTCTTCAATAAGCATATGCTCTAAATTGGTCTTAGGCTCCTAACCAATGGCCTTTCTAGAGAAGAGGCAGGTAGGAACAGTGGCCAATTTGCCTTTTATATAGAGTTGACCCTTGAACAATACAGAGTGTAGGGGCACTGACCCCCTACACAGTTGAAAATCCACTTATAACTTTTGACTCCCCCAAAACTTAACTACCTAAGAGTCATTCCTTTGGAAATTTTCATAATAGTTAGTCAATAAACACATATTTTGTATGTTATATGTATTCTTACAATAAAGTATGCTAGAGAAAAGAAAATGTTATTAAGAAAATCATAAGGAAGAGAAAACACATTTATAGCATTGTACTTACTGAAAAAAAACCCACGAATAAGTGGACCTAGCAGCAGTTGAGACCCATGTTCTTCAAGGATCAACTATTCACTGTAACCTAGGCCATCCTATCTCAAACCAGTGATGTTCCTACCCAAGTCAGTATTCCTCCTCTACTGCCCAGCCTTTTCCCTCTATTTTCTTTATTTCTATACAAGGACACCACTATGCTTAATTATAGGACTTGTGTCATGTATGCTTTCCTATTCTTAATAGAATACAGCCATTTAAGCATTCTAAAAATCCCATGGACTAGTTCTCCAAACCCTCCCATATACGTATTTTGTCTATTTCTTAACCTCAAAGAGTAAGAGAAATGCCTTAAAGTCATCATTATAACAAAGGGTAAGTTCTATGGTCTTACCTCATTTAAAATGAACAAGAAGGCCCTAGAACCTAGGATACAGATACAGTGAGGCATAGTACACATCAATATAAAAGTTATAATTAAGGGAAAAATAGACCTAAAGCTCAATAAATATTTATCGGTCAATATCTCTACCAGAATCCTTATAGCTAGCCATTTTTAAAAAGGTTCAGGAGTGCTACAATTAATAGAAGGAAACCCATGAAAAGCTTTTTTTTGCCTGTTTTTCAGTGTTGTAAATGATTATAGTAATAGGCGGCGGTCACATAGGGTCACTGGAATGTTAATCGGATGAAACTTAAAACACATACCATAAAATTCCGCTGGTAATGAATGTTCTCTTTGTTAAAGTCGATCACATAGCCATTGAAGGACCAAATAAATGTGAGATCCAGGGAAGGATCAAAGGAAGCAGCACACTGCATGGTGGCATTTTCTCCAACAGTAATATCAGCATTAATTGGGGCCAGTATAATTCGTGTGGGATCTATACATTTAAAAAAAAAAAAAGGAGGGAAGCACAATTCAAGAAAATATTAGATACCATATTATCTGGCACATTAAAAGAATAAATACCAATATATTTTTATTTCTCTGAGCAAAGGGAGAAAGATGTTTTCAGATTCAAATTCCAGGAACAATTTCATTAAGGAAGAGATTTGCCCCAAAGGCTTTTGAGATGGAAACTTATCAGTACATGAACTGTCTTAGAAGCTTAGTGCTGAATCATGCCTTATAGTATATTAGAAACTAAGCACTATTAAACTAGAAAAAAACAATATTAATCAAATGGTTTCTTACCTGTAATAACAAGAGTGCCAGTGTTATTAGCCCTCCCTCTATTATTTTCTGCAAAGCATGTATAGATACCGCCATCATTCCTTGTGATGTTATTTATTTCCAAGCTGCCATCTTCCCAAATGAGTATTCTATTCAAATGAAAGAAATGCATGCTTCACAAAATTAATTTAATGAAATATCTTATTATTCCGTCTTAGATTACAAACACTATCTTCTGATCATTACATTTTATACAAATTACTTGACAGTAAGATTTTTTTAAGATGAAACATCCTAGCCTTTGTTTATAATATTTTTTTCAGCATTGACAAATTGTTTAAGAAAGCGATCTTCATCTTTTTCTTGGACTACTGCAGTAGTTTTTAACTGGTCTCCTGTGTCACCCTTGTCTGGCCATAGTCTCTTTTCCACATAGCAGCCAGACATGAAGACCTACGTGACATAAGTCATACCATGTCACTCTTCTGCTCAGTGAAAGCACTCTAGAGCTCAACTCTCTCCAGTGACTTTCTATCTCACTCATAGTAAGAGCCACAGTCCTTTGATTCCCTTTCAAGCCTGACAATCTTACAGGGTTTTGCACCTTCAGCAAAGCATTGTTAAATTATAGTTAGTATTGTATGCATATGTACACACACGTGCATGCACATGGCACTGCTGTTGTCCTGCCACCCTCCATCCCATACCGCTTCCAAGGTTTTCTCTCCTAATATGCATTCCATCAGACATACTTCGGTTTTACTTACTAACCTATCCTTCCATCTTATTCATTAACTGTTAGAGCATACTAACTCCAGAGAAGAAAAGAATTTTGGAGATACTCTCATATAAATGGCTCAGAGAAAGATCATGTTAGAGCTGATAATAGTCCATCAAATATGAAATGAACAACTACAAATAAATTCTGTTGTAGAAGGTATATCATTTAGCCCAAAGTAAAATCATACAATTGAGAACCTAATTACAATTCATCAAGATTTATGTTTCCTCTCTACTGATTTGAAATATTGCATAAACCATTTTACAAGCCACTAATCAAGTGCTTGTAGTAACTTTGTAATGTGGAACCAATTTTTGTGATTATATTAATCAGAATGAGATTATAGTTAAGCTTAAAGACAGTTTTGCAGGTTACTCCTTGGATATTAGTTTGAAACAGAAATATTTTATTTCTCTGAAAATAATTAGTTGAACTTTTCTTTATGCATACTATTTTATAATAGTTAACTTTATTTTTTACATGAAGTACTGTATCTATTATAAAATGGTGCTTATAACCTAAAATATGAATGGATTAAAGTAGTGAGCAAAAACTGGATTTATAGACTCTTTTGTCAAGAAGTAACACAATTTGATTCAAAGACTAAAAATATTCTGACAGGATTAAAATAGTAAGATTTTAGGAGCTAGACCTTTCTTTTCCTTTTTTTTGAACAGATGTTGATATTTAGGAAAAATAAATCCATGAAACACGGTTCTAAGAAATCCTTGGTTGGAGAGACTTGTAGCATTCATTGGTCCTCATCAGAATCAGAGCAAGATTTTATTTTTATTATTTTTTTTATTTAGGGGACAGAGTTAACGGTGGGTCTAAGGGGGAGTGCTGTGCCACAAGTTTGTTGCAGGAATAAGTACCTAGAAATGGGACTACCTTTTGATCACATCTCCGCATTGCTCATTGTTTGATTGTTAATGTTTCATCAGAAAATCAAACAAATTAATTCTTCCTTTAACACTGATTCTTCTAGCATCATTTTGCGAAAGTCTTAAAAACTTAGTCAAGCATATTCACTTTAAAAGTTAATGTGTTCAGGGAAATAACTGCTGTTCCTGTGTACTCCCTCTCCCCGACCCAACTTATCTTTGTTCCATACACAGCCATACTTGTGATCATCTTAATAAGAGAACTGTGTTGGCATAGGTTCATTCCACAAGTTCAAGTTTCAGTTTGGAGATTATCAATATACTTTCAAAAGGCTACTTTAACCTTTCCAGCCTTTAGATACATCAAAATAGAGATAATAATACCTATCTTACCTACTTTTTTGGATTGTTGTGAAGAATATCTCTTATACACTTTTGCTAGTATATTCCTTTAATAGGCAAAAATCTACATTTTCCTCCGTTATTTACACCTCTAGACAGATTCCATTACTCAAAGACGAGGTTCAAGCCCCCTAGCAAAAAACATTATTGATGATCTGGATTATTATGTCTCATCTCTTAAAAACTCTTCTCCATTTTCCTCTAAGGACAAACCATATTGATTTTAGGTCTTACATTCTTCACCATCCTATACTCTCTGCCCCAGGCCCTTTGTACATGCTTCTTTACTATTCTAATCTAATCTAACTTAATTGTTTAAATATTAATATTTAGTAAAGTAAATATAAATATTAAATATTTACTATTAAATATTCACTGCCTGGAATGTTTCCTTCTCCCTCACTTTCACATCCCATTTCCTATCCCGGCTTTCTTTCTCTGTACTTTAGCACTCAACTGAGTACTTTTGCACTTTAGTACTCAGTATTACCATATCTTCCTCTAGGAAATTGAAAGAAACCATTCAGTGTGGTTTTTAAATAAATACTACGCAAGTCACACATTTTATGTTTTATCTTAAAGCTACCAATGGTCTACTTGTTAGGAAGTAGTTTTATGTTTTATCTTGTTAGGAACTTCAGTTTTATGTTTTATCTTAAAGCAGGTAATGGTCTGCTTATTAGGAAGATGAGAAATTCCTGTTCATTTAAAAAGATGGGAAGGAGTGATTTATTCTTGAATCACCTTTTTAAAAAATTTTTCCTATTGAAATACTTATTAGGCTAACTGTGTAAAACTAAAACAAACATAAATGGATACAGAGGCCTTGTTACAAGGGGAAAAGTCAGAGATCATATTTTATTCCCCATTGCTCATTTTTTTCCCGAGGCCTTGGGCAATTTACCAAAAATTTCTGAGTCTCAATTTTCTAAATTCCTTATAAATTATAGAAACCTAAAAAATTGAACACTGATTATAACAGATAATAAGAGTGAAGGGTAAGTGCCTCTGTTTATCTTAGAATTATGATACCTTCTGTGGAGAAAAGTAAGAACAACCAACATTTACATAAGTCCTCTTTAAAATGAACTTCGCCAAACAGTAAATTGCAATTGGATTTCTAGTTTTTGAACTTACCTGCTGCTATTGACAAGCCACTCTGTTCCTTTACTCCATGAAAATTTTGGTTTAGGTGCTGCTTTAGGTTTGCATTCAATTATGACCCTTCCTCCTTTAGCAGCCAAGATCTTTTTCTTCATAGGATTCATTTCAAAAGTTGGAGCCAAAGCTAAAAGGAAATAAATTATTATTTTTCTCTTTCATTAAAAAGGGAAAAAAAACCACATTTCTTCTATATCATCTTTTATTATTTTGATTAATAATCACCAGAAAAGATTAATCTCACCAAATATTATCAGATATAACCAATAGACATTCCATACCTAGTATTAATATTTTTTGTTTTATTTAATAACTTTATTGTTGTATATTTTACTTATAAAATTCACCCATTTTATATGTACAAATCTTAGTGATAACAGGATTAATTATTATAAATTTTAGTTACAATCAAATGCTATGTATATATTTACCTTGAAGGTAACATCTAATTTAATTGTTTTGACTCAATTGCATAAGGGAAATTAAGTGAAAGACTGGAGGAATTTGAGCACCATTATTAATACTATCGTATGGTCATAATCAGTACTCTCAACCACACTTTCCATGAACTGTCTCCAGTATACAAATGAGAGAACTGATATCTATTATAATTATATAATTTGCCAAAGGTATCCCGGGCAGGATCAGGTAGGATTCACAATTGAATCAATTTTCTTCTGATTTGCAAGCATGCTCTTTTCATTAAACAATGATTCCTCCTTCACTATGCACACATTTATTGAGCACCAACTGTGTGCAGACACTATGAGATACCAAAATAAAAAGATTTCTGCCTTCAGGCCTGCCTGCAAACAGCTATGGGAGTAATGGATGCAAATAATTGAGGGAAACGGGCTGTAGCTTCCCCTTACATCAAAGTACAGAACAGTAATTATGAAAATAGGATATAGAGTCTCATAAAAGGTTACTTTATTGATGACATGCTCTATTTTTCTTTTCTGTCTCCTACATCTGGCTCATTTCTCAACCTCCTTGTATTTTAGCAGACTTCTGGGGGATCTCATCCATTTATTTTTGCACATCCAATCATCTGTATGTAACTGTGTCCTTCTGGGAGGTTTTTCTAGGCCCAAGTGCATCTTCATCCAGACGTTGACTCTTCATCCTCTAGTCCATGATTCTCAAATTCTATCTGTGCATAAATATAATCTGATGATCTTGATAAAATGTTGATTAAGTAGGCCTGGGGTGAACCTGAGATTCAGCACTTCTAACAAGCTCCCAGGTGTTGCTTTTGCTCCTGCTGCCCTGTGGGACACACTTTTTATGGCACGGATTTAATTTATCCCATTGTTCCTTTAACCTGAGTTTTGATAATTAACAATAAATAAGTAACCAACCAACTTGTGTTGTACACCTAACACAGTGTGTGGTATTTTGTATAGGCTCAATAGATATTTTGGGTGACATATTGCTTGCCAACTATGAGAGAAAATCTAATGAGATTATATTTTAAAAATCTAAATTCATCTGGAAATGAGAATTTTTCTTGAGTCAGTTAAGTTTTAATGAAATAGTTGATTTGGTACAGTTGTTTAAATGACTTCATACTTAAGTAATACTTGAATTTATAGTGACAGAATCTAGACTATGTTCCTATATATTTTAGAAGTGGGAAAAAAATAAGAGAGTATTTTTCCCCCAACTAAGAAAAGGACATGCATTATTTGTCTCTTTCATTCTTTACTGGGCCTATTAAAAGTATGGTATCTGGTGTAGAATAAGTTCCCAAAAATATTTGGTGGATGAATAAATGAATTACCTAGATAACAAAAGAAAAGAGAGAGAGAAACACTATTTCTGAAGGTAGTAAACAAAAATAGATGGAAACAAATATAAAAATGCCCAGTAACATTGCTCTCAGGCTGAAAATGTTATTTATTTAATTATACAATAATAGTCATTAAATTATTACAAGATTTTATGTTTGAATATGGAGAGATCTTTCAGCCTGAGCAGTTGAATTTTCATATAATTTTGTAATGTATGATGACAAACAAATTTTTATAAAAAATAGAATGTTAACATTTGGGAAAGCATTTAAAGTCACCTCATATCTTATGAGTCAAAACTATTTTATTGCACCTCAGACCAAAGTAATATGGCATGAAGACTAAACCTGAATGTTTGCTTGATAACCAAATAAACTAGGTTAAATATATTAGGAAGGAATTTTTACTTTGGGGGGAATAAATGGAATATTGTCCTCAGCATTATAATAAGAGGCAGGGAAATTTAAAATTAAGAAGGCCTCAACTCATTTTTATTTTTATTTATTTACTTTTAGAGAGAGAGAGTGGGCACTAGCATGGACGGGCAGAAGGAGTAGGAGAGAGAATCTTAAGCAGACTTCAAATTCAGTGCAGAGCCTGACATGGGGTTGGATCTCAGGACGCTGAGATCATGACCTGAGCCGAAATCAAGTCTGACACCTAAGCAACGGAGCTACCCAGGTCCCCCAGCCTCAACTCTTTTTAAAGGTAATTTTTAAAAATAATTTCTTGCAATATCTCATTTCCTTTCATATTCTTTTAGTGTCACTCAATTTGTAGTGATAACAATGTTCTAAAGAATTTCCCTTTGGTGTAGCAATAATAAAATAGACCATACTGAGTCACTGCTTTATCTTTTTGGCAATCTTTTTGGTTGTAAAAGAGAAAACCTGGCTACCTAGATTCATATGACTAAAGCTGATGACAGCTACCTCAAATAAAATGAAAAGGACATAATACAGTAAGACCTTAATTAAAGCAATTGTAATGAATGTAAAGAGAATGTGAGATTTATGGAGTAACATTGAGAAATTTAGTAGATGTAATAGGAAGAAAGGATGTAGTTAATTGTGTCATTCTATAGAACAGAATTTTCCAGGAGACACTGTGGATGCAGGTAAGAGATAATGAATTTAGCTTCAGACACACTAGGTTCGGGTTATTTGTGAGGTTACCACATGAAGATTTCTATTAGGAAGCTTTATGTTGAGCTTGAAGCTGAGGATAAAAATCTGGGCCAGTGATATAAATTAAAGAATCATTGATAGTTAATGGGAGGAAAAGAAGAAATTATCCAGGATTTTTAAAAATTTGAAAATAACAATAATTTAAGAATAATAATATAGAACACATGAAAAAGGGAAGAGAATAGAATGAAATCATAGAAGGAACTCTGGGAGTGAGCAAGATTTCTAACGGAGCAGAGGAAGGGGTAAAGAGAAGAAAATGAAAGTGACTGAGAAAAAATAATCTGGGAGGTATGAAAACATGGAGTCACCAAAGACAAAGGTGTAGAGAATGCAAGAATAAAACATGAAGAAGAGGCTGCATGAGAAATATGAACACACATATGTACGTGGAGAAGAGATACCTGTTCATATCAAGTAAGGGAGAAGAAATGAATATAGGGCAGAGGTAAAGAGATTACAGGCATACCTCAAGCTATTGCAGGTTAGGTTCCAGACCACCCCAATAAAACAAATATCACAATAAGCGAGAAAAATGAGTTTTTTTTGTTTACCAGTACATGTAAAAGTTATGTTTACACTATACTATATAGTCTATTAAGTGTGCAGTGGCATTATGTCTAAAAAAAACAATGTACATACCTTAATTTTAAAATATTGCTAGAAAATGTTAACCACCAAATGAGCTTTCAGCTAGTCATAATAATTTTGCTGGTGGAAGATCTTGCCTCCATGTTGATGGCTGCTGACTGATCAAGGTGATGGTTGCTGAAGGTTGGGGTGTCTATGGCAATTTCTTAAAATAAGATGACTCTGAAGTTTCTCTCATTGATTCATTAATCCTTTCATGAAAGATTTCTCTGCAGCATGTGATGCTGCTTGATAGCATTTTAACCACAATTGAACTTCTTTCAAAATTGGAGTCAATCCTCTCAAACCCTACTGCTGTTTTATCAACTAAGTTGATATAATATTCTAATTCCTTTGTTGTCATTTCAACAATCTTCACAGAATCTTCACCAAGAGTAGATTCTATCTCAAAAACCACATTCTTTCCTCATCCATAAGAAGCAACTCTTCATCCACTCAAGTACTATCATAAAATTGTAACAATTCAGTCACATCCTCAAGCTCTACTTTTAATTTTAGTTCTCTTGCTATTTTCACCATATCTACAGTTACTTCCTCCACTGAAGTCTTGAACCCCTCAAAGTCATCCATGAGGATTGGAATCAACTTCCAAATTCCTGCCTATGTTGATATTTTGACATCTTCCTATGAATCATGAATGTTCTTAATGGTATTTAGAATAGTGAATCATTTTCAAAAGTTTTTCAATTTACTTTGCTCAGATGCATTACAAAATTCACCATCTGTGACACTTAGAGCCTTATGAAATGTAGTTCTTAAATAATAAAACTTGAAAGTCAAAACTGCTCTTTGATCCATGGGTTGCAGAATGAATGTTGTGTTAGCAGGCATGAAAAGAACATTAACCTCGTGTATATCTCCATCAGAGTTCTTGGGTGACCAGGAACCATGTAAAGGAGCAGGAATATTTTGAAAGAAATCATTTTTTCCTGAGCAGTATTTCTCAACAGAGGGCTTAAAATACTCAGTAAGCCATGTTGTCAACAGATGTGCTGTCATCCAGGCTTTGTTGGATGGCAACAAAACATTCAGAGCACAGGCAGATTAGATGTAGTATAATTCTTAATGGCCCTATGATTTTCAGAATGGCAGATGAGCACTGGCTTCAATTTAAAGTCACCAGTTGCATTAGCCCCTAACAAGAGTGTTAGCCTTTTCTTCTACAGCTTCCTTACCTCTCTCAGCCTTCACAGAATTAAAGAGTTAAGAGCCTTGCTCTGGATTAAGCTCTGGCTTAAGGGAATGTTGTGGCTGGTCTGATCTCTTCAGACCACTAAACTTCCTCCATATTAGCAATAAGGCTGTTCTGCTTTCTTATCATTCATGTATTCACTGGGGTAGCACTTTTAATCTCAAGAACTTTACCTTTGCATTCACAACTTGGCTGACTGGTTAGTACTAGAGGCCTAGCTTTCAGCCTCTCAGCTTTTGATATTCCTTCCTCACTAGCTTAATCATTTCTAGCTTTTGTGTGAGAGTGAGAGATGTCTGACTCTTTCTTTTACTTGAACACTTAGAGGCTATTGACTTAATCTCAATATTTTTGTGTCTCAGAGAATAGGGAGGCCCAAGGTGAGGGAGAGAGATGGGGGAAAGCCCGGTTGGTGGGGCAATCAGAACACACACATTTATTGATTAGGTTCACCATCTTATATGAGTGTGGTTCATGGTGATTGAAAACAATTACAACAGTAATATCAAAGACAATGATCCCGACAGACACACGAAAAAGTGCTCAACATTACTCGGCATCAGGGAAATACAAATCAAAACCTCAATGAGATGCCACTTCACACCAGTCAGAATGGCTAAAATTAACAAGTCAGGAAACGATAGATGTTAGCAAGGATGCAGAGAAAGGGGAACCCTCCTACACTGTTGGTGGGAATGCAAGCTGGTGCAACCACTCTGGAAAACAGTATGGAGGTTCCTCAAAAAGTTTAAAACAGAGCGACCCTATGACTCAGCAATTGCACTACTGGGTATTTACCCAAATGATACAAATGCATTGATCTGAAGGGGTACGTACACCCCAATGTTTATAGCAGCAATGTCCACAACAGCCAAACTATGGAAAGAGCTTAGATGTCCATCAATAGATGAATGGATAAAGATGCGGTACACACACACACACACACACACACACACACACACACAAACAAACAATGAATATTATACAGCCATCAAAAAATGAAATCTTGCCATTTGCAACAATGTGGATGGAACTAGAGGGTATTATGCTAAGCGAAATAAGTCAATCAGAGAAAGATAAGTATCATATGATCTCACTGATATGAGGAATTTGAGGAACAAGACAGAGGATCATAGGGGAAGGGAGGGAAAAATGAAAGAAGACAAAACCAGAGAGGGAGACAAACCGTAAGAGACTCTTGATCTCAGGAAACAAACTGAAGGTTGCTGGGGGGGGGGGGGGGAGATGGGGTGGCTGGGTGATAGACACTGGGGAGGGTATGTGCTATGGTGAGCATGGTGAATTGTGTAAGACTGATGAATCACAGACCTGTACTCCTGAAACAAATAATACATTGTATGTTAATAAAAAAAGACCAATGATCACAGATCAACATACCAAATATAATAATAATGAAAAAGTTTAAAGTATTGCGACACAGAGACACAAAGTAAGCAAATGCTGTTGGAGATATAGCACCTAGAGACTTGCCTGATGCAGGGTTGGCACAAACCTTCAATTTGCAAAAACGCAGTATTTGTGAAGTGCAATAATATGAGGTATGCCTGTTTTTGGAAAGGACAGATACTTATTCCTCTGGATAGAGAATATGAAAGGGCAAGTGTAGTAAAGATTTAAATACTTTTGAATGAGGGATGAGAAATAGAAATATTTTATTTCAAAGGGTTTCAATTTTCATGGAGGAGTAAAAAAGTGATACCAAGTAAGAGTCAGAGCGGGGTAAAGAGCTTGAGGAATGTCCTAAAGATTTTAAATAGCAACTGCAGGGCACGAGATCCAAAGAGTGCTAAAACTAGCAAGTGCCCAAGATCCATCTGAGCCTGGGTCATATGCATTGTGGAAGCATCAATCATCACAATGTGATTTTCAAGCAGTATTTAACAGCCCAGACACAGGAGAGAACAAGACTTGTAAAAACTGGCATGTGTCAAGTTTGCTTAAAGATGTTTTAAGACTATTGTACTCTGTGTTGCCTCTAATTTATTTGCTGTTCTCTAATGAAAGAAAAGAAATAGAAACAAAACAATAATATCATCCTGTTCCAAACCCCATTTTTCAAAGTTTTTAACTTTAGCAATTCAAGAAATAATCAAATGTGATCTACGGAAACCCTATGATCATTGTTGAATGCATTGCTTTCTTGCTGAACGTTAACAGAAACTAGAAATAGTACTGACCCAAGATCTTCAACTCCGCATTTGCATAGATGGCCCCATGTGTGTTTTCAGCTATGCACTGGTACATGCCAGCATTGTCAAAAGTCACGTCATACAGTCTCAATTCCCCTTTATGATACTGAAAAGAACACAAAGTAAAACACAGTTTCTTGATAAACCTTAATATAAACATTTTATTTTGGTTTGGGCTTGTTTGACTTTTCATTTAGATACATTATTTTGCCCCCACTCTTAATGAAGTCCAATACAGAAGGTTTTTCAGGGCATGGGAAAGGAAAACCCACTTACCACGCCCAGTGGCTCTTGTGCTATTCATCCTACTGAGCTGAGAGTCCACTTTTTCCCTCTTGGCCCAGCTGGGAGATTACAGAGGGAAGGTAGAAAAAGGCCCCACTGCTGTTACTTGTCCCCAGGGCTAAAGGTAGAACCTTCCCTCTTACCTCTGTTTCTGTGGGGTCAGGGAAATAGTGGCAAAAAAAAAGAGGACAACATCAGGTAGTAGAGATGGATGAGTAGGAAGAAGGGTAAAATGTGGAACAAAGGGAAAAATGAGAGAGAAAGAGAGAAGGTAGACATAAGATTGCAGACAGTTGATTAACCTGAAAGAAGATACTTTATGCTCACTTTCTTGTTTGCCTTTTTTAGAAGACTTTTTTTTTTTTTATTTCAGGGCCCAGATACCCTTACTCTGTTCACTCTCTTGCTAAATTTATCCCAGGACCACTAAAAATGTTGCCTGAACACGAACTCAAGAACTGCAAAACGACGGAACATACATACCGCATATCCATTTTTCAGCCATCGGATCGTAGGGATGGGCTTCCCTGTGGCCACGCAAGGCCAATAGAGATCACTGCCTATATCCACCTCTGTGTCGTTGATATGTTCTACCCACTCAGGAAATGCTGAAAAGTAAAGAACATTGTAAATGTCAAATGCAAATCTCAACACTCATAATAATCTCAAGAATACAAATACTACATTTAGTCGACCTTCTGGAGAATACACCAGATATCGTATATGCCATAAAATCAGTGTTAGAGCCTTCGAAGTTGTATTTCCATAGGTCTTCAGGTAAACGTTATCCTACACTGTTACAACATGAAGTAATTATAACTCAATTCATAATTAATTTTCTTTGTGAACCATGTTTTGTTAGAGAGCTAATTCATGAATAACACTAAAGTAATTGATCTTTTTCTTATAACTTAAGTCCTTCCAAATGACAATTAAGGTTTTAAAGAATTATGTCTTCATTGACTATGACACTATGTCTCCCTTTTAGAATAAAGAATCACATCTTTTCCCACTCCCTCGGGTCTCCTCCTTTTGATGTAACTTTCTGCTAGTGGCCGCAGTCACATCTTACTGTAGGTTTAGAAAAATGGCTTGATCATACAGTAGCTATAATTGCTGAAATCTATGCTTGAGTGAAATTGATAATCTGATCATCTGGTACCTAGAGAAAAATGTTAGGTATTTCCCAAAAGAAAATATATTTCTGGAGAGGAAGCAAATGAACAATGTGATAATCTTTTTGAGCATTTATTTAAGTTAAATAGTTTAAATAAATGTAGGTAAACAAATTAACATAAAATAAAGAAGGAGGTAGGAGGAGAGAATCCTGAGTGGAGGGAGTGTTTTATTTTCTCTGAAAAATAAAACTTTGGTATATACATTTTATGACAAAATAATATACATAACTTACAGAAATTATTTAATACACATAAATAAAAAAGAACATAAAACATTTTTATGATCTCACTGAACCCCATCAATATTATATATATGTAGGTATATATATATATATATATGTTTAGAGTACTATAATCTGATTTAGTATATTTTCACTTATCATTACATTTTTGTAACTTGTAATTATAAAAATTAAATATTGATAAGAATATTATGTTAATCGATAAAGGTTTTATTTTGTACACAATCTTGGCAATAAAACAGGAATATGAGCACCTTCCCTTCCCTGCCTTGGCCTCAAACAGGTGACACAAAATATCACATTAAAAAATACAATGAGAAGACTAAATAATTGAATCAACTTGATACATTCTATCTATGATTTAATTATGTAACCTTCTGGTTATTTGATTAGACCAAAAGAGAAAAACTGAGTTCCCTTGATTAGTAAAGTGCCTTGATTAGTAAAATTAGTAAAGTAAAATAGCTCCCTTAATAATATTCCCTTATAAATATCTGCTCTGTCACCTTGATTCTTCTAAGGAATTAGATATTAGATATTTAGACCTCTGCTAAGAACCTGGAAGGGGAAAATGAAGGGGGGGAAATTGGAGGGGGAGACGAACCATGAGAGACTATGGATTCTGAGAAACTGAGGGTTCTAGACGGGAGGGGTGTGGGGGGATGAGCTAGCCTGGTGATGGATATTAAGGAGGGCACGTACCGCATGGAGCACTGGGTGTTTTACGCAAACAATGAATCATGGAACACTACATCAAAAACTAATGATGTAATGTATGGTGATTAACATAACAATAATTAAAAAAAGAACCTGGAATGCAGTGTTCTTAATATGTATGAATAAAAACAGATCTGTAAGCTCTAGAAACCTGGTAGAGCGATAGGTTTATTTAACAAATATAAGAGTCTAACCAGAATTTTCCTCACTTAAGGAGGCTATCTGTGCATATTTGATATGTATCAAGTGAATTTTGTTGGTGTACTGAATACACAAATCTGGAATTCAGGGGAGGTGTCTGGGTCAGAATTTTCAGGGTGTAGAGCCTCATTAAAGCCTTGATCATAAAGGTTGGAAATGAAATCAAGAAGACTTTCAGAGACAAACCCTGATTGCTCCCGTGTTCAGAGGGCATGGGGTGAGGAGGAGAATGCAAGCGGTGTACAATGACGTTAGCAAAGTGTAGGTTCCAGATGCCAAGCACAGAGGGTGAATGGTGGAGGAGTGCATGGTCAGTGGTGACTGCTGCTGTTGGATCAAGTAAGTTACAGCTGAGAAGTGGCCATCCACTTCAGCAACATGATGTTATTGGTGGTCATGGGAAGAACGATTCCAGCAGAGAAGGAGGGATGAAAATTCAATAAGAGTGCATTTAAAAAAGAAGAAAAATTGAAAAGAAGGAGGGTAGGAGGGTAGAATCAAGCACATAGTAATGATGTTGGCCTCAGATAGCAACTGAATCCAAAGCCATAAGAGAGGGGTAAAGATGTTGGTATTGGGTAGATGTGGGGTGGGAGCTTGTGGGAGTTCTAATTTGATCTTTCATTTTCTCTGTCAAAGAAGAAGCCAAGTTATCAGCTCAGCATAAGTTTGGAGGAGGAGGTGTTAAGGGTTTAAAGGAAACTGTGAAAGCATGAGAAGATCATCTAAGAGAGTGGGTAAGTGGACATAAGTGGACCTTGGGAATTGTGTATAATTGCCAGGCAACACTAAAGACCCACTTGAATCTAGTGATCATTAATTTAAAACTAACTAATCAGCATACTAGTGTTTATCTAAGTCGTACTCAAGTTCCTGGGTTCAGGCTCTGATAGGCGGAGAGCTAGATTTTTCCAGGGTTAGCCTTCTATAAAGGTAGTAAGACAAAGTAGAAAGTGGTGAGTGTGCTGGGAGGGTGTACAGGGGAAAAATAATGATTGATCACAGATTTAGGGAAGAGGTGAGTAGGTGTTAGGGAATGTGAAGGAAAATTAAACCATTGTTAGATTAATTGATCATAGCTCCTGGTAGTAGAGTCTCAGGGTATTAGAGAGACTGAACTGGAAAGATAGGAGGTAGTGGTTAGTGAAAGAAATGTGTGAGATTGAGGTTCTAAAGGGATCGTACTTTTTGGCAACAATGAGGTCTAAAGTGTGGCCTTGGGAGTGGGCTGCTGAGGTAGACTGAAGGACAAGATCATTGGAGAAGAAGAGTTCAATAGAACCGAGAGGCAAAACTACTAAAAAAATAATCATAGTCAAAGTTGATTTTGATGTCACTAAGAATATCAAGAGTAGTGTTCTAGTTTGTAAGACCTGACAAGCGTAAAAATTTTAAAGAAACAAGGTGGGGGGGGCAGGGTGGCTCAGTCGTTACGCGTCTGCCTTCGGCTCAGGTCATGATCCCAGGTCCTGGGATCGAGCCCCGCATCGGGCTCCCTGCTCAGCGGGAAGCCTGCTTCTCCCTCTCCCACTCCCCCTGCTTGCGTTCCCTCTCTCGCTGTGTCTCTCTGTCAAATAAATAAAATCTTAAAAAAAAAAAAAAGAAACAAGGTGGGTATCCAGACAGATTGTTAACTGGATGTTTAAAGGAAAAAGGGAAGATAGTCTATAAATGGCATGAGAAGCAAGAAGAGCAGTTATATTACAAGTCAAAGCGGAAAAGAGCTGTGGAAGAAAAATTAGCCACTGCTTGAGAGGAAGCAGTGTCTTTAAGGGAGAACCACGTTTTAGTTAGGGTGAGAAGTTCAGAGTAGAAGTTACGTAGAAGTTGAGAATATAGGGGATTGTAACAATAGCAGACTGTGTGTTTTAGAAAGCATGGTGCAAAGGCTTCAGAAGCTGGGCATGGGGAGGAGATGGAGGTGGAACAGGATGGGTGCAGAGCTGTGTGGGTGTTAAAGCTCAGGCGATGAGGGAGGCCTAGAGGCCGTGGCTTTCTACGCCAAAAGAAACAAACAGGGTAAAGGCAAAATGAGCCTAATCCTGCTGCATTCTATGAGATGATACTAGGCCCACTGGAGGCACTGACTTCATGCCTGTACAGACAGAGGCCTGGGCTCCAGGTAGGGACCACAAGCTGTCTCCTCATTCTGGTATTCATCTGCAGTTCATCCTATCATCCATCTTGTCAGCATGGTTAAGCTACCCCTTACCATATACTTCATCAATATCCTGTATAAATTTCCATAGTGCATTGTCATAATTTTCTTTATAACTATGCATGTTTGTGTGTGTGCATATGCATGTGTGTGTGGAAGTGTATGCTCCTTTGCCTGTGTATACTTGTATAAATTTGGAGGTTTTGTATAGAGTATGAATACCTTAAGGACAGAGATAGTATTTCTTTTATCTACTTCTCCTTGTTCCTGTCAGAGTGTGTGCCTCTGAGTAGACACTCAGTGTATGCTTATCCTTTAAATGAATGGTCTTATTGAAACTTTAGACATTTACTCAGTTGTGACCTGTAAGTTTTATATTGTGGAACATTATGGAAATGATTTCAGTATGAAAAGTTTCAAGTGTTCCCTGAAAATCAACATTCTATCCTCCTAAATATAAGTTTATTTCAATGTGTTTGAATCAAACACTTGTGCCAAGAAAATTGTGTCAAGAAAAAAAAATGTTTCCTTAGAGCAGTGATTCTCAAACTGTAGTAGTTCCTGGTCTGGTAGCATTAGCATCTCCTAGGACCTTGTCAGAAATACAAATCTTGGGCCCCAAATAGAACTTGTAACTCAGAAACTCTGGGAACCAGTTATCTGTGTTTTAACAAGCCCTCCATGTGATTTTAAAGCATACACAAGTTTGCAAGCCAGTGGCTTGGACCAAGTCATAATGCATAGTTTCTTCTACGAATAAAAAGGTACTGGAAAAAAAGAAGAATGGAGGGAGTATACAAGTTATATTAATTGTATTTTCTGAAAATTATCAAGGACACTACTACCAATCCATTGATGTTAGTATGATGGTAATGGTATAAGTTCATAACTTCCATAAGCCATATTTGAGACTTAGACATAAGATAAATATTTTCTCTTTTTGCATAATATAATAAACATCACTGTTTTTAAACTATTATTCATTATATACTCACTCTTTAAGTATGGAAATGGCTATAAGTAAGATATTGATGCAATTTATAAAAAATTGAAAAAAACATGTCTACCTTGAACATAAATCCTTGCCTGGTATTTATCCTTTCCTCTATTGTTCTCAGCCTCACATTCATATGTGCCTTCATCTTCTAGCTGAATATTGAAGATCTTGAGGACAGCCCCAGAGGTGCTGATCTCAGCAGTACTTGGCATGGGTTCTAGGACCTTCCTCCATCGGATATCCGGAACTGGACTTTAAACAGGAAATAACAAAAGCTAAAGGTCCACAATAGTTCAAAGTCTATTACTTTGTTAGTATATAACTAAACAATTACGTCATCGATTTCCTAAAATGGTACAAAGATTAATATATTTCTACATATATTAATAAAAAATATAAGCATACTTACTTGCCAAGTGCGAAACACTCTAACGTCACATTTTGGCCCATCAGTGCATATATGTCCTTGAACTGAACTACGATATCAGCAGGATATGGTTTTGTTGTTCCTAATATTAAGAAAAATACAACCACCATCCACTAATTATTAGGCAGAATATAATTTTTTTTAATATTGTGACTTTTATAGAATTACTTCAATATGCAAAGCATTTCTCTGTACAAGTACCAGAAAATATCTGACCATAACACAATGCACAGATTTATTTGTTTATGCACAGTATGTATATAGCATAAATTTCATCAAGCATTTCCAATCATATGAGCTCACTCTTACAGCTATGTAACTAATCTGACTCAATTCACCAAAAAAATCTAAGATGTCTTTAGAGAGCATCAAACATGTAAAACATTGTGCCAGGGGCTACATGGGACTCAGGAAGGTAGAGAAACAAGAAAGCAAAAGAGGGAGAAGAAAGGAAGGAAGAGAAGAGAGTGGACAAGAAAGGACAGGCAAGAAAGGAGGGAGAATAGAAGAAAGATGTGCATATGGAGATGAAGGCAAAAGTGAAACGAGTTGAAAAGACGGAAGGACAGAGGGAAAGAAGCGTGATTATTCAGACATTACTGCGCTCATCAATATAGTTATTTTATTGAATTTATTGAGCATGTCTCTACTGCAAGGCATATTATTCCCTTAATCTTACAGGGGAAGAAACAGGCTCAGAAAGGCAAAATGCATTGTTTAAGATTACAACGTGAATATGTATTTTATCCTGTAGGATACCTGAGAGACAAGTCGATACACCATGCCCTAAAATACAAGCCAAAATGAAAATAAACGGTCTGAAAGAGTGGCAGCTAAAGAGGACTGCTGAATATGCCGGGGCTATGGGAATTTCAGGCAAGAAGAGCATGTGAACTTACCAGACCAGTTCAGATGGAGAAAACAGTATAGTATGACAAAGCTCCAGGAGTATGAAGGGGATTTTTTTTTAAGTCTAGGAAATCAAGTGATGTCAAACTGTATGTAGTTGAAGATGAGTTTGAACCTATTATCTAGAAGGCTTGAAACTGTGACATTAAACATTTTGAGGCTAATTTTCTTGGTGGGTAACTACTGGTGGATTTTGGTAAGAAGTAACATGAATATCACCTTTGGTTTAAGGAGAAAACCTTGGCGGAAGTTTTAAAGAATGGGACATGGAGAAGAGAAACAGAAGAGAGTCTAAGGGGGGTTAGGTCATTACTTCATGCAAAACAGGTGGGCGCTTGAGCAGTGGAAACAAAAAGGAAAGAACTGATCCAAGTTGTCTCTGAGAGGCAGAATCAGCAATACTGCCCTTTGGGTGCATGTTTCCTTGAGGTGTAGATCAAAGATCCAATTCATCAGAATCACCTGGGATGCTTGCTGAACCTATAAATTCCTGGGTGACATCCCAGACCTGCTGAATCAGCATTTCTGGGTTCCAAATTTTGCAAACTTCCCAAGTGTTTATACTAACTGGGGATACTACATACTAACTGGGGACCACTGGATTAGCTATCTGGAGGATGAGGGGAGGAGAGGAGTTGATGATTAAAAATGCTGTCCTGAGTTAGAAATATGACAGTATCACCAAATGAGACAAAGAACACTACAAGTTTTAGAGATGAGATGAGATGACAGATATGTCTGGAACATTTGGAGCCTAACATTCCTGAGAACCTTCTGTATGACAAGCCCAGGAGGTAGACAGAATTAAGTCCTAAACAAGAGAAAAGTTTTGGAGATAAGAATGTGGAGTCATCTCCATAGGGATGCTGTTGAAAGGTATAAATTGGTGAGAATATCTGGAAAAAGATTAAAGAGAAATATAAGAAGGAGGAAGATGTGGGGAAGGATACTGCATAGAATTTCTCAGAGAGGCAGGTGGGAGATACAGGAAGGGCAGGAATTGGGAAAATTAGAAAAGAAAGAAAAGTTCCAGAGAGGCATAGGAGATCAACAGTGTCAAAGTTCATACAGAATCAGAACTGAAAAGTGTCCTTTGGATTTAGTAAATAAGTAATCAAGATTGCTTGCACTGAATACAGAAGAATATATGGAGGGAAAGGTACAGAGGAGAGTTAAAGATTCAGAAAAAAGCAGAAAATAAGTGATATAGGGAAGTCCCTAAATGAATCAAATGGTAAATGAACCAGTGCAACTGGAGGAATTACCTAGAATAGAGGAGAAACACTTCTTCTATAGAGACAATAGTAAGAAAATATTTCTTAAGATAAAGAAATAAGATGAATTTCTGGGGTAGAGTAGGAAAGAAACTTAAAGAAGCTTTTACATGATGGCTCCTTGTAATTCTATAAAGTAGTGGATGAGAGCATCTCCCAAGATTGTGGAGAGAAAAAAGAGCCAGAAGTCAAAAAATATTTACTGGGGCGCCTGGGTGGCTCAGTTGTTAAGCTTCTGCCTTCGGCCCAGGTCATGATCCCAGGGTCCTGGGATCGAGCCCCTCATCAGGCTCCCGGCTCTGTGGGAAGCCTGCTTCTCCCTCTCCCATTCCTCCTGCTTGTGTTCCCTCTCTTGCTCTCTGCCAAGAAAAATAAATAAATCTTTAAAAAAATATATTTATTGAATACCAACCATGTGACCACAATCAAGGAGAGTAGTAAAAATGGAATCACAGTGATATGATGACATTTTCCCCATTGTAATACCCTACTTAGAGTGGAGGCAGGAACCAAACCTAAGTCTGTGAACAACAAAACCCAGTATTTCTTCAGAAGCCTGAACTCACTGTTATGAGTGGTAACAGCAGGGCTGTGATAAAAACAAAGTGAAGTAAGCAAAATATGTTGAAATCTGATTCTCTTAGAAGTGGTGCATTAAAAAAGGAATGTAGTTCAACTGGAATCTTGCTAAAGCCATTCAGGTCTGTCAGTGGCCATCAAATATGGCACCCATGCTACTTACTTACAGTACAAAGGCAATTTATACACTTATTTGTTTCATAAAAATAGTTTCTTAAAAATATCAAAATAATGCAACTGCATTTTTCCCCTAATTCTGTAATCACTATAGTTTGTTTTGATCTAATCATTTGTTCTCTTTCATGAAGTTACTAAAAAGTAGGAATGGACATGGAAAAAAAAAAAGCAGAAGCCAGTGATTCCCACTGTAACTGATATATGGATATTTGGCTAATGAATCAGTACCCTATGCATTCTCTGAACTAGAGGAAACCAGTCCAAACTCAACCATCTTAGGGAACTTTATCATGTAAATCTCCATTAGAAAAACCAAGGAATGACCAAGACTTTCAAAGTGTGTACAAACTGAGGGTTCTAGAAGGGAGGGGGTGGGAGGGATGGGTTAGCCTGGTGATGGGTATTAAAGAGGGCACGTATTGAATGGAGCACTGGGTGTTATATGGAAACAGTGAATCATGGAACACTACATCAAACACTAATGATGTAATGTATGGTGATTAACATAACATAATAATAAAAATAAATAAATAAATAAAACCTCTAAACTTAAAAACAAAAACAAAAACAAAGTGTGTATCTTCTGTTTGCCCTGAGTAGCCAGCTAGTCTTCCCATTGGATATTTCTTTCCATCACTGTAAGTGCTCCATAAGCAGACAACCTGCAAAAACAGTGTGTAACAAATAAAATACTTACGTTCAGGTATTGGAATGAGTGGGATAAATTTGCTGAACACACTCTTCGTAATAGAAGGACTGGACACAAAGCAGGAATAATTGCCTTTGTCTGATGCCTCAACATTTGCAATGTAGAGATTTCCATTTGTCTGAGACACAAATCTTCGTTTATCCATTGTGATAAATACAGGAAATTCATTTAGAAGCCAGCGGTAGCTAAGATCATCTGGAAGGAAATATTGTCTTCTAAATATTAAATTCTTCCAAAAGCAAAAATTTTGTTTTCTAGGAGCAAGCTAGGGCATAATCTAATCTAGGCTATTGTAGATTAAATGTTGGAAGTAGGCCAAGACAAATAATTCAAATTTTCCAAAAGCTACCATATTTTGAGTGAATATAAGCATGGTGGTAAGCAATTATATTTATCTTTATCTCTCAATTATTTTATGGCCTATTAATATTCTAACTTCTATTTCATTGATGGGCTAAATGAAACTCAGAGCGGTTAAATGTTTTGCTTAGAATTTCATGACTGGTAAATATAATTGGGATTTTTAATGAAGGTCTGATAATTCCAGAACTCATGACCTATCTTCCCTGCTGCACTTTAAAAATAAAATGAAGCCTGCTAGCCACTCTGTGTCTTTATCTTTTTCCTTTTGTACTCCTATTTTTAATTACAGATTTAGAAATGAATTTCCCCTCAGTCTTTTCTTAAAACAGCAGCCAGACTCATCTTTCTATAACTTAAGCAATGTCATGTGACTCCTTGTCAAAGCCCTCCAAAGTAAATCTCACTCAAGTTAAAGCCAGTGTAAGTACTATGAATTATAAGGCCCTATGTGATAATAGCTCTTGTATCTCTCCAATTTCATTTCCTATTACCTTCTATCTCATGCATTCTATTCTAGCCACTCTGGCTTCCTTGGTCTTCCTTGATAGTTCCAACTCATGCCTTTGTTGCATCTGCCTGGTATGTCCTTCCCTCACACATCTGCATTGTTAGCTTCTTCATTTCCTTCAGGCCTTTATTCAAAGTTACCTTCACAGCATCGTCCTTTATAAAAGTTCAGCCATCCCTCTAACAGTTACTGTTTCCATTTCCCTGCATAAGTTTTTCTTCCTAGTGCTTACCTACCAATATCTAGGCATGATATACCTGTTAACTCTGTATCTTGTATATTGGCTGTCTCTGCTGGTAGTAAATCTCTGAGGGCAGGTGGATTTTTGTGTTTCACTCACTGAGGTATTCTTTTTTTTTTTTTTAAGATTTTATTTACTTATTTGTCAGAGAGAGAGAGCACAAACAGGGGGAGCAGGAGAGGGAGAAGCAGCCTGCCTGGTGAGCAGGGAGCCCGATGTGGGACTTGATCCCAGGACCCTGGATCATAACCTGAGCTGAAGGCAGACCCCTAACCAACTGAGCCACCCAGGCACCCCTCACCAAGGTATTCTTGTGGCATAAACAGTGCTTAGCACACATAATTGTGTAACAAGTGCTCACAAGAGATTTGTTGAATGAATAAGCAATGAAATGAAGCCCATCCAGTGCTGAATGTAGTCGAATGTAGTCATTGGCTATTTATGATCATTTACTTTGTTTGTGGGAAATGCTATGGAGATGAGGGGATTTTTTTTCCTGTAGTTTCGGCAGTTCTTCAAAGAAAAAGACTATTCTCTCATTGAAATGTTGTTACAACATTTTGAATTCTATGTTCCTCCTATATTTACCATTTAATAATCTTTTTCCTGTTTTATTGGAGAGAAAATTACTGACATTTGATATATAAACAACCAGAATTTATATACATATAGCTGGAATAGAATACATATAGATGTGTATATGTAATTATATATATAACATATATTTTATGATATGCATTATATATTTACATATGTTAACCTCTCTATATATGTATCATCAATGTATTCCACACAAAATGATTTATAACAGCCTATTCTTTATGGAGTCTTTAAAGTCAAATTTATGACATAATATTAGAACTCTAAAAATATAAAACATTAGTTTTTCATTGTGAAAAGTAGTATTTACATATTATTTCAAGAAGATATTTGACAAATAAAACAAGTGAAAATTAATGAAAGCATATAAAGTATTTATCTTTTACTTAGCATTTTGGTGGCTTTTATTTTAGCCATATCAAATTACAGAAAACACATATTCAAAGGTTGAATCTTGTTACAGATGACATTTAATTTAACCCCTTTCTAAATTGGATGATTATTCTTGCTGCTAGATGCTCCTGAAGAGATGAACAATTTATTTGTCTTTATCCTTTTCTAGCATTTATATAATTGACAGAATATTGTAGATGTAATATTTTAAATGAAATGATGGACTATATATCACTCTTTGGCACTTCTACTTTAAAAGTAATTTGTAAAAATATCTATCATATTTTTTCCGGTGTAACAGGAATGTTAATGAGAACATAGTCTAACATATATGTTGTTTATAAACCAAAATGATTACAGATCTTTGGGATTAGGGCCAAGTGACTAAAGAGCCTGGAAGTGTCTCTAACCATTCATAAGCAATGCATTACAAGATTAGGCAAATACTGAGTTTTATTTAATCATAAATGAACCATTATTGTTAAGAAAATTAAAAAGTAGTCATTCATTGAATGGATGCTTATAGTCACAGAGGAACTTTAAATTTACCTGGAAAATGGTATGGAGGATCACAGAGAAGCACCATTCCCTTCCCTTCTTTCACCCTGACCTCAGGACGCTCCTCAGGTGGGAAAGGGTCAAGATCTAATTATGAAAGCAAAAAGGAAAATATTCACTCTCTAGTCAATAGAAAGAGATTTTCATTAAAATTTATCTTTCATTTACTAACTCACTTTTGGATATGATACTTCTCAGTTGGTTTGGTGGAGCCTATGAAAGTCAATTCCCTATTTTACATGCTGGCATTTGCATATACTCTAAGACTTCTGTGGTAAACACCAGCAGATGGATATTGGTAGCAGCCTGCATAAGTATTCTGACAACCCTAAAAATTACAATATCCTCAACTTTTGCTTCAGGTTTAGGAAGAATCTCAGTAAGGGTATCTGGAAATACAATGGACTCAAGCAAAACCAGGAATCTACCAAAGAAGTTAAGTAAAGAGGAGTGACTTGGAGGAACAGACTCATTTGAAAAGTGTAAGTCTCTTCCTGAGGGAGGACTCCAATGTGGTGAAGGAATAAGGATGAAAAGTAGAATCCTAGTTGAGGTGATGTGAAGGTCATCAATTTTTTTCTTCTTTTCAAAGTCTGAGTTTTCCTTAGTCTCATTTCCTTCATTCTTTTCTGTTTATTTAGAATTCACATTTTCCTTGGCTCCATGATACTCTATTTGATTTTTCATTTGCTTTACTAGTGCTCATTCTGTTCCAACTCTGCCTCATCTCCTATTTCTTCTCTGTGATCAGTACTCAAGTTATAAAATCAAATTTTTACTTCTCTCAATATATTTATATCTATGAAAAGTCATTATTCTAATTGTTACCTTTTTGCAGAAAGCCCTTCAGATCTACATCTCTAATCCTGATACTTCACTTGAATTCCCCCCCATCCTCAAATACTTAGTTGACATTTCAACAACAGTAACTTAATGTCACCATAACCTCTGCATGTGAAGCCATCATTTCAATGCTTCCTCCCAACCTTGAAATTTGTTTTACTTGCTTCCATTCCATTTTTAAAGAGAGCAGAATGTTTCTGCCCTTTGACTCAACTTTCCTTTAAAAAATATTTAGGGTCTTTTTCTCTTCAGTGCAATGTAATCTATTATTTCTTCAAGGATTGTTTATTATTTACATTCCCATTGTCACCACATTAATGAAATCAGACTGCTCACTCCCTGCTGGTAATCACTGCCACATGGGCCCTCTTAAAACATGATTTTCATCCTACAATCCATTTTGCAAAAGATTTAAGTGCTGATTTACAAAATTGCATACTGGAGATCATCTAGTCCAACTCCTCTTTCACTGCACAATTTTCTCCTAGAATAGCTTCTAACTTTAAGTTTAGCACAAGGTTTCTGAAAATATTTTTTTTAATTTTATTTTATTATGCTAGTCACCATACATTACATCATTAGTTTTTGATGTAGTGTTTCATTATTCATTGTTTGCATATAACACCCAGTGCTCCATGCAATACGTGCCCTCCTTAATACCCATCACCAGGCTAGCCCATCTCCCACCCCCTCCCTTTAAAACCCTGTTTGTTTCTCAGAGTCCATAGTCTCTCATGGTTTGTCTCCCCCTCCGATTTCCCCCCCTTCATTTTTCCCTTCCTATTGTCTTTTTTTTTTTTAACATATAATGTATTATTTGTGTCAGAGGTACAGGTCTGTGATTCATCAGTCTTAAACAATGAAAATATTTTTTATTACAGCCTCCATAAGGAGAAATTTTAATTTAATTTAAACTTAAAATAATTTAATTAGTTTAAATTAATTTACTCCTAATAAGGTAAATTACACACTATGGAGTAAGATTCTGTCAGGTAGAGTCAAGCTTTAGAGAACACAACTGTAATGTTATAATAAAAAAGAAAAAGAAATAAAAAGAAAAAAGAGAGAGAGAGAGAATACATGGCCTAGCATGTCTACTGATGCTAGTTATTCAAGATCCCTCAGAACACAGCCTTAATTTATTTTCCAATACCCCTCAGGATGCTTTGCTCTCTTGAAATTTTTTTCTCCACACAGTTAAGGCCCACTGATCATCTAAGACCCCCTCCATCTATGGACCTTTTGTCTCATTTTCTTTTCATCTTGATTTTTCTTCTTGTTGAACTCCTATGATAACATTTAATTTTTACTTCACCTAGGCACACTTGACCTTGTTAAAGTTACAGTTACTTACATCCAAAGCTCAGGGTTGCTTCTGTGCTTCTGACCATCCCATAGTTATTTGATGCTAAGCAGTAATATATTCCAGCATCTTTCTGTTTGTCAGGGTTGTTGATAACAAGGTTTCCACCTACCATACTGTACCGATCACTTGTCAGATCAATATCCCCATTATTCATTCGCCATCTGTGAGAAAGAAAAACAAATGTCATATCAAAGGTCATGAGGCCTGCAAACTGCATAATGGCCTAATATCATCCTCAAATAATATGGGTACAGCTCCATGTGAAATCAGATGATTAAGTAGATGACTCAGTGTGGTATTTCTTCACACCCTATAATTCTGTGTCTCTGGGCTCATGATTTATAATTTAGTTCAGGCACAGAAAGGTAAATGTTCAAGTGCATGAAATGTGTTCTCTTTATTCATGAGGCATCAGAAAGGGCAAATATTTCATTGAATTTTGCTACATTAAGTGGCTTCTTAGCAGATATACGTAGATTATAAATGATAACCTTCTATGTACTAGTTAGATTCATGCATATCCAGATGTGTTGCATAAAATATTAAAAAGCACTACTCTAGCAAAAGTAAAATATAAAATATCAATACCTGATTCTAAATATCAAAATAAATTTTCAATAAAACTAATTGAAATCAGGGTTCTATTGAGTAAATGTCACACTCTGACCACTAGAGGTCGATCACACAATTTGAAAATTGTAAAAATCAATTGGATCTTTTGTTTCCAAGCCTCCAATATAATATTGCAGGTATATTTAGAGGAATTGTGTTATAAATAAATTGACTAAAAACAGGACTCTAACTTTCTTGGTGAGATGATGAGAAGAATAAATGTAGAAAATAGTTTTCAAAGGGCGCCTGGGTGGCTCAGTCGTTAAGCGTCTGCCTTCGGCTCAGATCTTGATCCCAGGGTCCTGGAATCCAGCCCCACATGGGGCTCCCTGCTCAGTGGAGAGCCTGCTTCTCCCTCTCCCTCTGCCTGCCGCTCTGCCTACTTGTGTTCTATCTCTCTGTCAAATAAATAAAATCTTTAAAAAGAGAAAAAGAAAATAGTTTTCAATTAAGCTGACCATCTATGTATTATACTCATTCTGTTATCGGGATTCATGTCTTCAGCAATGTCATAGGCAAGAGCCATGATCAAATAGTGGGCTGTGGCCTCATGGCTCATGGCCTTGCACACTTCTCATCAAGGTCAGAATCTTACCAAAAAAAGCCTAATTATTTCTGAATATCTTTTATTAAATCAAATCACTGGAACGTTTTTAGTTTTAATTTTTATAATGTAGGAGGTAATTTAAAAAGCAAACACAGAAAATGATGCTTTTGCATTTTGAAAACCTACCAAATTCCAACCCAACGAGTCTATCTTCCCCTTTCCCCCAATTGATGGCAATATTGGCTCTGCTTGAACAATCCAATGTCAAGTTGCTTAGCATTTGCCAAGGCAATGGGTTTCCCTGTAGAGCAATACCAATTTTTTTTTCCATTATGTTGACTCCAAATTTTTATTTATTGCATTAACTCTTCTTTAGTGGATTTGATTCTGCCTTTGATGTCATATAATGATTAAGTTCTGCTGTGTTTGGATAAGTTCACTGGTTTACTTTATTGTCAGGAATGTACACCTTTGTTGTAACTCCTTTCAGACAGTTTTAAATGCAATTCTATTAGCATTCTCATTATTTTGAGGGTCAAAGCAAGATAATGAAAGCTTCAAGCCTGGTAAGTAGAGTTCCCTGTTGTACCTTTCAGGGTGTTGTCATGAATAAGAAATTATCACAGAACATGCCATAAATATAAAACTAACTGTGTGAATGACACCTTGCATGATTACCAAGGTTAGTATGGCTTGTTCTGAATATTAAGTAAATTATTAAAACTTCAAATGTTCTTTTCCATCAGACAAACTGCATCATGAGCTGAATTCTTTCCTTTTTTTTTCCCCCTGTCAAATGCAGACTGTCTTCATAACAGAATTTAACATCTACTTCTCCTTTCCAGCTCTCTACATTAATGTGTAGATAGTCAGGCCACCCTCATCCTGGGGACTTCAGTGCTGGTGCAATCTATGGGAGGGAGTTGGTGAATGTATTTGTCAAGCAATGCATTGTCTTCTTATTTTATGTTTTAAATCTTGGTAAGAACACTTAATATGAGAGCTACTCATATGAGGTATCTAAAATAGTCAAACTATAGAAGCAAAGAATAGAATGGTAGTTGTCAGGGACTGGAGAAAAGGGGAAAAAGGGAGTTGCTAATCAATGTTTATAAAATTTTAGTTATGCAAAGCTTTGCTTCTTAATGTGTAGGCAGGGTAGGGGTTGGGTAGGCACAAGCAAATAACACACATTTCTAGAACAATCTCTTCTGTTTTGTTGCCTCCATTTCAGGCTGTAGACTGATTTGCTGTTTCCATGTATGAATGTCAAGGAGAAGGGTCACAAAATAAACATCACTGAAATAGCTTTTGAGATCATAGAAATAGCTTTTGAGATGTTATCAACCTATCTAGATAGATACATACTGAAAAAATTATATGTTTCTTTGAAAGCCATAAAACCTGTGTTTCAGTCCTGGATCTGTGACTTACTAACTCTGGAGCAAGTCAGTTTATTTATTCAAGATTCAGCCTCCTCTCCTATAAAATTATGTGCTTGGATTAGATCTCCTCTACAGATAATATATACTATTCCATGTCCATAACTATGTATATAAACTCCCATTACATGTGGCTTAAGGGTAGAAACAAGTCTAGCCCATCAAATATTTTCAAAATAAATGTGTCACTTATAATTTATAAAATATCTATTTATTTTGCATTCCCATGCATGAAATTGAAACAATAAAAATAATTTCAAAGGGATGGTGCTTTTGTATCTAAATTCATATTTTATTTTAAGAATAATTTTGTAATTTAGCCCAGAGACTCACAAGAGTCTCTTGAACTCAAGAGAAAATGAGTTCAAATAGGATTAAATTTGATAACTTTTTATAACAATAGAAAGTTATTTTTCTGTTGAGAAAAAAAATACTATGAAAATCAATCTTGTTGAATGACAACCTTCAATTAAGTTAGCTGACATTGACATACTAGAGCCCCAATTTCCCCATCAATCACTTGCTTTGTCTTCGTGGAACTATTTCACAGGTGAAATTCAAATCCATTGGTGTTTGGTTAATTTTTTAATCTTATTCTTTGTATCAGACTAGAAACTGTTAGTATAATTTTCTGAACCATGTGAGGCAGAAAAACCCATTGTTACCTTTTATAAAGTTATTTTTATAACATAAATAGGTATCCCAGAAAAGCAGAAAGAGACATATTGGTGTAAATTATCTAATTTTAAGAAATTTGCTATATTGCCTAGAATATAGATTTGAGACCACTGAAAAAAGTGGTGCTGTCTAGAATTATGTATGTAAGTTCTCTAGATGTAGTTGATATAGGAATATTATCTATAATATGTAAGTTTGAGTTATTCAGGTTGATGCATCTAAGAACATTTTGTCCTCAAATATATATTTAAATTGTGCTTGATTTTCATATAACCTTGTATACGCTTAATAGCATGACCACCATTTGACAATTTTTAAGTGGATAATATCAAATGGCATTAGCATTATCTGTGCAGGAAATAGGAAGTGGATTATTTGCACATATTTAAGTTTAGAAAACTTACTACCAGTTTGGGCATGAAACAACTCTATTTTAATAACTTACATGTCAATATTTTTGTTAATATCCCTGCATTTTGTTAACAACCTTATATTATAGCTTTCTCTATCAGTATAGGGTCACAGATGCCCATCTATAATCTAGTCTGACACTCCATTGTGAAAAGAGCAGTGAGGTACATTACTTGTAAACTGGGAAAGGGCTGGCTCGTGCCCTACAGTTTAGTGAAACTTTTCCTTCTGGTGATTCCTCTGGATAAATGGTATTGATTGGCTGCTCTTCAAAAATTGGTCCAAATCCTTTATCTTCCTCAGAAACTACAAGAAAAATAAAATTATTTTACATTGTGCTGTTTTATAAGTCAAAGAAAATTTGGATACATTTAAAAATGTTTTGGAAAAATGTTAGAAACATCAAATCTCCATTTCCATTCAAAACAAAGCTATTTGCCTCCACAATCCTGAGGAAAACATTTAGGTGCTTTATTCAAAATTCTTTTCCGTCCCTCTCTCATTATTTCTCCCAAAGCACCCGGTGTTGTCATGCTTAGCTGTATAGCCCCTCAAACAGGTCAGGCCTTCATGCCTCTGAGCCTTTGCGACGTGTTTTTCCCCTTTCTGGAATCGCCATCTCATTTTTCTCCCCCTATCAAAACTCAGACAGTCCTTTATGCCTCAGCCATAGTTAGTTACTTCGCCATGTCTCACCCCTCCTAGCTTTGATTGGTCCTCATTTGTGTTCTCACCCCACTCACACAGCTTATGGTACTTAGCACATCTTCTGTGATTCTTGATACAATTGTCCGTTCCATGAGACTGCAAACGTTTGGAACAGGTGGCTGTGTCCATAATCTCCCAGCTAGCTGTCAAGCAGTCTGGAGCACAATAGGTGCTTAATGATTTTTTAATAAGAGAATGGATGAATTTCTAGAAGCTCTGGGGAGATTAGTCTCTTGTTTATTTTTTCTGAACAGGTGACCAGCACCTGTACCCAGTAACACCTAGAACAGTCAATGAACAAATTATTGGGATCTGACCAACTGTTTCAGAATTCATCACAAGCAAACCCAAGTTGGGAAGCAGCTGGTTCTCTGGAAGGGAAGAGTGATGCTTCACAGCAGGAAGAGGAGAAGAGAATCACTCACATGACATCAGTGTGGCAGCATTTACATAGACGAGCTAAGAGCCATATGCCCCACATGAATTAATACTAGCATGTGTGGCTAGGAAGGAGGATATTCTTACATAAGATCATTAAAATGTCTCTGCTAGAGCAAAGCTATGGTTCATTCCTCCAATTATTTTTTAAGAGAGCGTTTAAAGCAAACACCAGAGACATTTTGTCTGCTCCAACATCAACCTTGAAGATGAGAGCTTTTTTCCAGCTTCCATTAATGAGGAGTTTCAGTATATTATTTAAATCTTGCCTCAGTACTGTTTACAGTGCCTTTGGAAAAATTATTTAAACTCTCTAATCTTTAATATCACCCTTTACAAAATGAGAATAATAATAAAATCTATCCCATTAGACACTGTGAGAAGTATTTTGAGACAATGCACATAAGACAGTAGTGTTCCTGGCTCACAGTCAGCATTCAATAAATACTGATTTTGTCAACGTTCTTGTGAATTTGCCAATCCTTTCAAAATTTGATTTATATATCTTATGTATATCTTATGCATATCTCATCATACGTATATATATATGTATATCAACTCATGAAATTTCTAAAAGCAAGAGGCCATGTTTTACTCACTTTTGTTGTTCTGGTGTTATTAGTGTTGTATCAACACATATTTGTATACATGTAGGTGATCAATAAAATCCTCAAGTTAGTTTCTCCTAGTTTGAAGCATTAATTTTTCTAAGCTTGCCTGAAATATTTCAAAGGGAGATGCTTCATTTTTAGTTTGGAATTTGCTGAAATTGCCATTCAAGAATTTACGACCTTAGTTCATTCCCTATCACCATCCTATTTCAGATAGCAAATTGCTGGATCAAAATCAAAGGAATCAGAGAAACTGAGATTTAGTTTCACCAATGCACTTCTCCTAACTGTTGTTTTATGTAAGCCATTTGTCCTATGTGGAGTCAACATTTAAAAAAGAAAGGAATAGGCACACATGCCCTAAGGGCCCACAGACCTAAGACAACCGTTAATGAGATCACAAATGCGAGGTGTTCACAGAAACCCTATGCTAATGATTTTGAAAGTCATGCTGTGAGCAGTGTCTATTCCATATCCTTCTTGAGGTTGTAAAAGCCAAAAATGCATATAATGTTTTCTGCTTCACTTCTAATAATTTTCCTGATGATGCCCAATATTTCCTGGCCTTTTAGGATATAATCACACACCAGGGGAAATGAAGAATGAATCCCAGATCACTGACAACTACAGACTTTCACTTGGATGTAGGCTCTAGACTTTTCAATCTCTTAAGGAAATGACCTTGTACTTATCTATGATAAAAATCATATGCCATTTTTCTTCCCATTTGAACAACTTTATAAGCTCTTCCTTGGGTCTCTCCCAATTGCACAGCTTTTCTGATTGGAACAATTTAGTAACACCTGCTAATCTGCAGATTCTGTTGTTTCTTCCCAATTCACATGAAAATGTTTAAAAAGACAAGCAGAGAAGCGCAATTTTATCAATATATTTAGATTCTCTTCCTGAAGACAAGATGACTTCTATTCCAACTCTAACCCTGATCAATGACAATTTTAGTGTGAAATTTTTCAATTTTTTAAAAATTAAAGTAGACTAGATATTTACAGGGTAAAAATAAATATTATTTAGAGAAGTTTTAAGCTCATAAATATCTTCTGAGTACATTGTGTTTGTATAAAAAGCCTGATGATGAGTTTTTAGACACAACATAAAAAACATGATTCATTAAAGAAAAAAAAAGACAAGCTGGATTTTATTAAAATAAAAAAAATATGTTCCGTGAAAAGACACTCTCAAGAGAATCTCAGGTGTTCAAGTTCGGGGGTTTTCCTTTGGGTTATCTCCAACTTGTATTCCACAAGGGGCAAATTAGAGAGACTTGCAACTAACTAAATCCCTATCTTATTTAATAATAGGGATATATTAGTGATTGCACACTATTTCACAAAATTTGTCCTCATCTCAACAGGGGCAGGGTTGTATTAGTTAAAACCTCTTTAACATTATTGTATTTCCAATGTAGAAATAGCCAGTCCCAGCCTGTCTAGCATCTGCTTCCACAGTGCCCACTGGCAGTGCCATTAGAGAGGTTGTAATAATCCTAAATTCTCAATTTATAATTTCATTAGCTTTCTTGAAACAACTACTTTTATCACTCTGAAGTAGTTACATTCATACCAAATGGGCTTCATTATTTAAAGTACTGTATTTGCCTTCAAATTCAACACAGACATAAGCATATATTTATGTGAAGGTCGAGATTAGATTGGTAGATTTGTGTATTTTAATTAAATGCATTGTCCTAAATATTTCATTTGACAGTGTATCTTCTGATTTTAAGGCATATGCTTTTGAGACAAATGTTGGTCAGCTTTTAGAAGACTGAGGATGCTTTAAGTAGTTTCTTCATCTTAATCATATGCATTAAAAATAAGTTTTAATTTTTTCTAGAAAGGATAACAGCAATGAAAATTTCCATTGAAAATAATGGAATGTCACATAATAATAATGATGAGACTATATCTATTGCCAGGCAATACCTCAAGAGGCCTATATAAAGATTAAATATTTTTTGGGTGAATTGGGTTGAAATTTATATGCCAAACTGGATAATATTAGTGCCCCATGCTATTTTTGTTTCCCATGACAAGTACTCTTCATAAATTATATGTATATACTTCCTACTCCACTTCCATCTGGCCTTTATAGGAACAGACAGTGAAACCTTCAGGGGATAAAAATATGAAGCTAATTTCCACCAAAATATTGGATTTATTTTTCACATTGACAGAACATTGCATTTAAGATAGTTCCCCTGGCTCATTCTCTAGGTCAAAAAGCAGACTAGGACACACTTCTCATCACAGTAGTACTTCTGGTATTATTTTACAAATATATGTTTCATGCTTTTGTAAAATGTTCAGGCCTAAATAAAAGAATGTATTCCATTAGATGGTTTAGCAATTACTGTATATATTTTATTTGGGGAATATATTTGGGCCCTTGAAAGCTAAATTACTCAAAACAAGCTTTTGAATTGCCTGGGCAGGCTCAGTGAACCTCTGAATGTTACCCTCATTACCCCCTTGAAGATTATCTGAGCTCATCACTCTATTCTCTCAGCTAGGGCACCTGGGTGAGGAGAAAATAAATTTCTGGGAGAATACAAGGCTCAGAAAAGGATTCATTAATGCAAGCATTATACTCTCAGCCAACAGAAAATATGTCCATCTTACTGCTTTTTTCTACAGCTGTGGAAGTAATTAGATGATAAATTATGGTGCTTTGGATGTATTATGGGGTTACAGGGCACATGGAACAAGAAATAGGTATTATGTTTCAGAAAAATAAGATTACTTTTTAAATACGTGTCCTTTTTCTTACTGGGTAGATTCTTCTAAAAAGGAGCACAAAATTATAGATGGCTTCTCAAGCTAATTTAAGACAGCATTTCAAATCACTCTTTCTTTTGATCTGCTCTTAATGCAAATTCAATAGTTTTCTACCACATAATGGTAGTCTTCTGGAGAAGTAAGTTCATTTCTTAAATTTAATCATGAAGATTAACAAGAAAGAATGAAATTATATAGGATTATTTGTTGTCAAATTTACAAATGTAAATGACAAGCAAAAGCTACTGCTTTTTTCTGTACCATTCTCAGTTCCATCATTAACATAATCAGTTTTATTATTTAAAATGGGATTACTTCACCTCTCACTGTGGGGAGATGGTCCACTGTAATCTTGCTATTCTATTTTATTTTTGAAAATTGAAAGTATAATTATGACTTGTACTTGAGAGATTTTTTAATTCATTTTATATCTATTTTGAAACAAATTCTATTTCTCATTCTGTAATATGTCATCTCAATCTGTTAGTTATAAAAACATACTTCTACATAAATATGTTATAAGAAGAGTCACAGGAAAAGAACTATTAGAAAAAAAAGCAATGGCAAAAAAATTTGAATAGAGTCTAATACTGGGATTATTACCATATTTACAATGTTACGATAATTATGGGATGGTGAGTGTTACAAGCCTCTTGAAATACAATAAATTCTCTAAGTGAGACAGTATTTAAATTGACTCAAAGAATCATTTTTCCTTCTGTCTTCACTGTCAACCATTCCCCACTAGTAAGGGAACAAGGATGTTTAGAGCTTGGGCTTTGAATACTTGGATGCCCCAATCCTTTAGGGTCATGGGTAATATATAATATTGCAGTAATTTGCCATAACTAAAATATAAAGGAATTGGTTTGAAGAACTTGTAGCAATCAAACTGTTAGAACAAAGACTGGGGTCAGGTTAGCAGAAAGGTTTACTAAATTTCCCTTTGCATGGCTTTACCTGCCCAAGAGCCTATCAAGTTTCTTGATAGCTGCCACCTCCTTGCCCTAAGGTCCACGGCTAAAGCCTCTACACAGTGTTTTCCTTAACTGTCTAGGCATCTTGCCATACCTACTTCACGTATACCCCACTATGTAGCATGCTCCAGTTGGTACGCCTACTTTTATCAGTTTGCCTCCTCAGGCTATCTCTAGTCTATTTTAATTGATAACAGTGACTGTATCACAAAATAATGATAAGCTAGTGAATGCTATAAAATCTCAGTCATAATTAGAGATAGAATAATGCTTTATGAATGAAAATAATGCTAATTAAAAAAATCATGAAAATTTGGGTATAAGTACTATGAAGACACAGGAAATTCCATATCAGCTCTCTCTTCAGAATTTTAATTTTCCTTGATATTAGCTTTGAATATTATCATCATATGATAATCCCACTGTATAAATTAAGGATTATGTCATACTCTAATTCCATAGAATAAGGATTATACTGCTATTTTATCTCTTCCCCTTATTGTTTTTGTCACTAAATTATAGGGGAATTAAAGAGATATTTATTTTCATTTTAGGTTAGCCTCAGTAAAAGTTGGTCTTGAGAAAGCTATATCTTATTATAAAGTAAAAAATACCATAATTGAGAAAAGCATCTAAAATAAATATTTACTCTCAAATATTTAGTTATGAATTAAATATCTGAACATTACATGTTCACTATATGGAACTTAGTTGTATTCATTCTTTTATCTCAATAGGATACATGTTGATTTCATATAATCCAAAAAATAAAAAGGGAAGAAATTTTTAAGACATGTGGAAAAGAGTGGAGTTAGGTTTGATGATTTTTTTAATAAGCCTTGGTATACTTTATTTTTCAAACTAAAAATATCTATGTATTCTTAATGCATATATTTTATTTAAAAGCTAGTCACCTAGGTTATTAAGATTATTATGTAGTAATAGTTAAAAACTATTATATATCCAAGATAATGTATTGGATAGAACTCTCCCATTCATAAGTGAAAAAAAAAAAAAACTCAATTTCAACTCACCTAAGTGGTGTGGCAGATATTGTTTCTCAACTCACCAGTGCCAGTCCTCCCCTTCTACCCCGATGATAAATGTCAGATATGCTCAAGGATTCAATCTTCCCTCCCATGACTCAGAAGTACAGGTTGACTATCATTAATGCCATTACATTACTCCTTCCTATGACAAGCTTGGTGGTAAATTCGTGACCCAACTCTGGACATTGAGGTGTTTAGAGATCTACTGAAAGGTCTCTTGCTTTTAAAAAGAAAAAGATATGAGAAAAAAATACACCTCTTTCACCTGTAGATGTTAGGTCTACACGTAATATCTGCAACTGCAGCACTGTTTCCAATAGGTCAAGTAGAAAGCCTGAGAGTTGACTATTGGGTTCACAATATGCACATCACTGGTGACATGGACAAGGCACCTTGGTTGAATGCTGGTGTGAAAGTCTGATTGCAGTAGGTTCAAAGGAAAATATGGGTCAGAGAATTGAGACAGAAAGCATAGTTTATGTTTTTTTTTTTTTTTTAGTAATAATACTGAAAAGAAGAATAGATAAGTAGGATATTAGCTATACGGTGTGGGGTTTGCAGATAAATGATTCTTTAAATGAGAGAAATTACTACAGAGTGTTTGTATGTTGACAGCAATAATCCAGTAGTGGGAGAAACTGATGATGAGGAGACACAGGGGGCAATTGCTGGAGCAATGAACATAACTAAATCAGATGGGATGGGACAAGTACAAGTGTAGGGTCTAGTATGGAGTCATCATGTGTGAAATGAGCAGGAGGATGGAGTGTGTGAGCATAGATGGAGGAGGAGAGTAAACATAGTAGCATGAATTTGTGGAAATTATCTTCAGGTTGTCTCTAATACCTCTGTGTAATAGGAAGCAAAGTAGGGATGGCAAGAAGCTGTCAGAGTTTTGAAGGGAGGGGAGCAACTATGGCATGATCTAGGAAAATAAGAAAATGAATTCATTGGAGAAGTGGAGTGTGTTTGCCGGGCAGTACCAGCTGTTCACTTGAAAGTAGCAGTTATGAATTTAACTTGATGTCAGTCAGCATACATGAGGTTTTTTTTCTCTTTTTCTTAGCAACAATTAGCTGGGTGGTCAAAAAGTTTCGTAATTTTTGGATATTTTACAATTCTTCTCTCCTCAGAGATTCAAAATACTTTTCTCTTAGTGTAATATTATTGGTTGAATTGTGCCTCCACAAAAATATATGTTGAAGTCCTAATCCCTGGTACATCAGAATGGGACCACATTTGGAAATAGGATGTTTATAGAAGTAATCACGTTAAAATGAGGTCATTAGGTGGGCCCTAATCCAGTATGACTGGCAAACTTAAAAACAGGTAAATTCAGACACAGAGGCAGACACGGGAGGAAGACATACATATGAAGATGGAGGTGGACATTGGAGTCATGATGCCACAAGTCAAGGAATGTCTGAGGCTACTCAAAGCTGGGAGAGGCAAGGGAGAAGCTTCTCCTACAGGTTGCCTCTATTTCTGGCAAGAAATGTTCAGTGGTTGAAGTAGAATCTAAACTAGCAGAATTAACAGTTATATTTAATAAATCATAAACAATAAATTCTGCAACATCTTTGGAATCCTAATTAAACTGAATCTTAAGGTTCTGAGGTCACTAACTTTAGTTCTATCTCTTTCAGCAAAGCAAGAGGCTTTCCAAAGTAAGTTAGGTGTTTACAATATTTAAAACATTGCTTCAAAATTTAATAGCATAGAACTGTTACAAAGCATGCAGGAAAAAATATAGACCACATGGAATATTTTCTATCTGCTACAATCCTCTAATAGCATATTTGTTTTTGGTGTATATATTCAATTCATTTTGGCAATCAAACAACTTGTCTTGTGACCCCAGATAAACCATCTTACAAAATCTCCAAGTGATCTAACATTAACCATTTGCCTTTAAGTTTAGAGAGTTAATAGCTTAAGGTAGAGATGAAATATGGTTCATCTGAGAAAAATTATTTTTTTAAATTTACCCTTTCATTAACTTACCTCCATGACCATATCTTCTGTACCATGTAAACTCTAAAAATAAAAGAAAAAGCAATTTTAATCCCAAAGCAGCTTTCAAGTTGTGGTTTCAAACAACAATCAAATAACAGAGATACTAGTTAACGAAATGACACTGGTGGCCCTTTACTATTACAGCTGATGTATCATCACATGTTTGCAACTATTTATTTCATGTCTTTGCATTTTTATAGTTGCATTAAAATTTGTGATCAATAGAATTAGGATGAATTTTTCAGTACTAATAAGTTATTGTTTTATTTCATTCATAAAGATAAGACTTAGCCACAATAAACCTACCACAAAGTTTTCTTTATTATATTTGTATAATATGTATATAAATATGCATGTAATTGTGTGTGTCTGTGTGTGTGTGTGTGTGTGTGTGTGTGTGTATAACTCCTGTGGTTATAGCAATGTCATTAAAATTCTTAAGCACTGATGAAATGGTTATATTTTATGAATTCTGAAGTCATAATAATAAAAATTACCACCAAAATAAAATAGCATTTTTATTTCCTTAATAATAAACAAGAAATGCAATAAGATGCCTAGCATGTTCATCATTAAAACAATCAATGAGAATTGATAAATGAAGGATAAGATCCATCTATGTCTTGAACTTAATTAACAACTCAACAAGTATTTACTGAGCTAAGGTAATTGAGATGAAGGTATTAGAAAAATTGGTTGTTAGAAAACATGCTGCTTTCAGATAAAAATATAATGCATCTCTCCCTATAGGAAATATTTCTGAATCCTTACTTGCCTTCGAAAGATAGAGTTATAGTATTTGTCCTAAAACTAGAGCACTTTCAAAACTACTTTGTTATTATTAATGTCCTTGAACACATTGTAGATTATTTTAAAATTGTTTTTCACAAGACTGACCAGCCAGTAAGAAAAATTAAATTATATCAACTTACAAATAAATAAATTAAAAACAAAGGTAACAGATGTTTAAAACCCATTACTGTTTAAGTATTTTACTACATTTTTCTTTTATTTAAGCTATTGAGGTTACTTGAGTATACTGTATTTATATGGTGAAAATATTATATAATGGTAAACTGTTGAATATCTTTTCCAACAGCACGTTAAATTATGTCAATTTGTCAAGATTGGCCATAGCAGGAATATTTACTCCCCAGCAACTGATGAATGCTACATAGCAAGGATATTTTTCTCTTCCAGAGGTCCATTTTTTAAACATTTACCAGCTTACCACTACATAAGACTTACTAAATCTTGTGAAATTTTACTTGAAAATAAAAAGAAAAATAGGGTCAGCTTTAAACATATTAATTTATATATCTGACACGGATGTCAAAAATATTAATTTTAACTTCATGTACCAGATTTAGTAAAGTGAATACACACATATTAATTTTATTGACATAATTCATGGAGAATATGCAAAGGATATTTCTTACCTGATAAACAGGTTGTAAAAGATATTATCACAAGGTGACTGACGAGCAACCACATTTTCATCTTGTTTGTGTAAAGGTTAGTTTTTATGGTAGCTGGATAATAAACACCTGCATCAAAAACAGAAAAGAAAAAAAAAGGAAAGGTAAATGCTTATTATTTGGGGTCAACATTATTGATTCAATTTTATTTTATGTTTCTTGTTTATAGAATAAGTTTTAGTTTATTTAAATATATTTGTAAGCACCATGTTTTATGAAACAATAGACTTGGTATCAGAGGGTTATCAGCTGCCTCTAGGATTGACACTGTAGGAACATGAGCAAGTCACTCAATTGGTGTGTTCTAGCTTTTAACTCTAACAATTGATCATAACAGTATTTTTTTCTACAAATGGCATAGTTGCAAACATTTCCATATCAATCAATTTAATTGAAGATCACATTTAACTGAAGGGCTGGTAGAAGATTCAATTAAAGATATGTTTGTATAAGAGCTTTGTAGAGCAGAGCACAAAATTGGAACTTTGAAGAAGCCGGCTCCACTGAGGGAAGTGGGGGATGGAACCCTCGCTGGGACAGTGTGGTCTCAGGACCCTCGGGGTCACAGAGAGACCAGGGGTGCCTGAATGCGGCAGAGCTCCCAAGTATCAGAGTGGGGAAGCCAGCTGCCAAGACGGAGCGGAGGAGTGGGCTCTCAGCTCGGGGTTGCCATAAACCGTGATCCGCGGCCCAGTCGGGCTACTGCTCCTCCAGCAGGGACCCAACAAGCGGCAGAGCCGGGGAGACTCCCCTTCCCCCC